AGTCGAGAGTTAGACCGTGTGAATCCATTTTTAAAACCAGTTTCCTCTATGAAAATTCTTTAGCGAAATTGTATTTTATGTGATCATACAGTTGCAAAACACAATAGATTTGCTACCGGTAGTCTCATTTCCCTATAAATCGCGATTCAAAATCAATTTTCACTGTGCTATTACAGGTTTGAAAATTTCAAAGGGTTTTTGGTCATGCACGAAAAAAAACCCGTTTTTGAACCGTATCCCTGAAAAGATGTGCTGACAAACTGAAATTGTGTCGGAGAAGCGACTATTTTTTTTTGAGGCAGAGAGTCGCTTGAGTGACGGTACACATTGATGGGGTGCATGTTCTAGACGACGGTGGGGGGTTTTTTATTGATTTTTTCTTATAACCTTGTCAGTCGCGTTTAGCGGAGTTTTTTTTTCTGCCCGCGCCTCTAATGAGTGCGATGGCGAATTACGGCCGGGCATTTTTCGTCGATCGTTTACCAGTAGCGGCGTTCAAAAATGCCAAATGATTTTTGGATTTTATATACGTTTGTATTCCTGCTTATTTTTTACAGTAGTGTAAGGGGGAATGAATAAGGTTTGACAGCGATTTAGCAGGTCAACCCCGACTGTGCTATATCTGAACTTCAAGGACCACTCTTTTGATCCCATGCGTGGTCGGCCCAATAAAAATTTTCGCGTGTAATTGATACCAATTTTTTTTTTGAAAGTTCTATGTGAGGGCAATTCTCATATAAGGTCGTAGCCTGCAAGGAACCTTACTATAGTCAAACAAAATGACCCTCTTCTCGAGCTTAGCGCTAAATAATCGCGATCAGGGATTACTGTAACAAGCTCTGCTTGGGTGATCGGTTAAAATTGCTGGCACCCGGTGACGATGGAACAGTCCCTGCCTATCCTTCTTCTATCATTACCCATCGACGTAGCTTCTGTGCTCAGAATAGATGGGGTCTAGTCTAGTCTAAGGTTGTTGCAGATCTATGCAAGTTTGAATTAGGGCAGAATGCACTGGACCTCAACTTTCGGGAAGGTGGTCTATCGTGAATTTGAGACAGTTCTCTGCGCAACAGGGACTAGGTGAGTAGCAACATTCTCTAACTTTATATCAAGCAACGTTGGCGTGGTTTCGAATGTTGTTGGTACGTTTGCAGCAATCCTATATCCCCTCCCTCCCCCCCCCCTTGTCCAGGTAGTCCACTCAAACATTCCTTATTATTTTTATTTCTGAGTTCCCTCCTGTGTAAACAACAACAAATTCATGCAAAATGCAATAAACAAACAAATAAATGATAATTTCAATGAATAAGTCAAATAAGTAGGGGGACTAGGCATAACAATTTTCCATTATTATTTTAGAAAAAATGAAGGCCATGGAGAACTGCTCCTCCCCGTAAAGAGCGATAAAATTCATTTTTAACCCTCTAGACAGCATCGGACCCGGCACCTGGATACAGTAGATTTTGCTCAAAAAGAACAGAAAAAAAAACAATTTTCTCGAATCAGTTATTGCAAATCTTTCCAAAAACGAAAACTAAGGCAGGTTCAAGAGTAGGAGTAAGAGTAAGAGTAAAGAGTAAGAGTAAGAGGAAGAGTAAGAGTAAGAACAAGTTTTGAGGAGGCGGCAGGCACCCTCTACCCTCTCCTTTTCAAATTTTTCCACTTCCCTTGACGAAAATCTTTTTACGAAGGTCCCAATTTGAACGAAGCAAATTCTATGGGAGTGGTTCAACCTGCAGAAATTTCCCTAACTATTCAACATTACACACATCGATATTATGGTATTATACTTTATTTCGTACATGTACATACAGTCTGCAGGTGTAATTTCTGGTCTAACTCGGCAAGCGTTTCTGCTTGTGACGTCAGATTCCACACGCTATGTAAAATGGCCAAAACGGTATGGGTTTAGCTGTTCTATCCAAAAAATCCTGTATTTTTTTTCCATGGACATCCGTTTTTGGGAAGCATTTTCTGTTTTGATTAATATAATTTCTAAGCCATGGCCAGTTTAAATGCGAATAAGTTCCAATTTGTAGTCCATTTTAGGAAATACTCGCTTTTTACGGTTATTGTGTGAGCGGTTTTTGGATGCTAGCAATACATTTATTTATCATAAATGTTTTTCATTAGTCAATTTTTTTAGTTTCGAAGTTTGAGCCAGGCGAAGTATTTGTGTTATTGCGGATTTCACAACCCTAGTTTTGGCCAAAAACTTCACAAATTCCTCCCAGTAGAACCCTTACAGAGTTAAGGAATATTTCTACTCGTTAACTACATCTTAGTCCTTCTCGACATTGTGTTGCTATTCCAAACAACTAGACCGTTCCCCCAGGGGGGGGGGGCAGATATCTACCTCTCCAAATGAGCCTTTTGACGTTGGCTCGCCTTGGTTTTGGCAAATAGAATATGCTACTAAACACAGGGATTTTTTTTTTTTGAATTTTTTTTCGCGGCTGATATTTTTTGTTCGTATTAATTTTTCGTTTCTAGCAAGTTTTTTCCAAGTGTAATTAGATGCTCAAGAGCAAGGTACTCTGTGAGCACCCCCTGTTGCGTGTATAATTACCGTGATGGTACGGGGAAACGGGTGGTATTTGGATAAATGCATCAATTTTTGATTATATTTATTTTACAGCTACTTATTTGGCTGTATTTATTTACTTATATTTCCATGTGAATATTATCAGAATCTCAAAAAATAGCCTTCCGCGGTTCATTGAGCTCACTCGGAGCTGAAGAGAGGGCTATGAATGCTGACCCTCAAATGTGATTGACCCGGGCCAAGTAGGGTTTTTTCCATGTTATCGGGTAAAGATATCCAATATAACGTCATATTTGAATTGGAAATATTGTGTGACGTATATAAGAGAAGAAATGAAATTTTTTAAAAATTTTGCAGGTGTAAAAATATAAAATATTTCATGAACATTCTGCCAAATTCCTGGTAGATCGTAAAAGGAATACTGAGGCTCAATACATAACGTAGGGCTGCTATTATTTTCAACGATGTCAATTTTGAGGGGGCACTTGAGTTTCCGATGAATGAATGGCAAGTAGTAGCGGTATTTTTGCCCTAACCTTATGAGTGCACTAATTATAGGGTCATTCATAGTCAACCCTTTAATTATCTCAGGGGTCAACTACGTGACCTGAGTTATTCCGTGGCCTCCCGCAGACTACGATTAATAAACAGGTCTGGAAAAGTGTAGGACTTTGGAGTGTCGCACATTGTGGGCCAAGAAATCGTTGTAAAGTAATCATCGTATGTTGCAAAGGCTGTTAAAGAGCATCAGACCGGATGACAATTCAGACAGGACACTGTAGCGAGTTTAAGTGCAAATACCCTTTCTCCAGCTCCACCGTCACGTAGTTTCACCAATAGGGACAAAGTGAGAGTCATTCACTTGCCAATGAGCTGACAAACGGCTGCGGTTTTCGTGTTCCGATTTCCGATTAGGCATTCGACAATTGGTTTTCTTTAGCTGTTCCAGTCCCCCTTTTTTGTACCCGTAACCTCAGTTGTTCCTCATCGGTCTCTCTGTGGATCACTGTGATCCTCGCCGTTCGGGAACGGTTATAGCGGATCATCAGTGCGATAACGCATATTAGGCCAGTACGAGAGCTACCGCTGACAACCAACAGAGGTACTCAGTCCGCATCCTGGCATGTTCGAGCCGAGATCGCGCCAGCTTCGCTTCAATTAAGCACCAACTTCTGTCACGCCGCCGCGGCGTTTTTTTCCAGTGAACTATATGTGGCACATGTTTTGCCGAGGTATGATGAGTTCACGAGGCCATTAATTTCGCTTCCCAGTGTGTTTGTGAGTATGCGTATGTTGTGTGTGTGTGTTGCACTGGTCGGCGACCATCGCTACGATGGCGGCGGTGGCGGTATGAAACTTGCCTCCTGATCCACTCGTCGTCGACAGTCTCTCTCGTCGCCATCCAACGCACCGCAACGCGGCGTGTCACGCATGAAATTGCGTTGCTGAGAAGAGTGAGGACGTCATGGAGAGGGAGAGTGGAGGATCGAGTGAGGATGCGTGCATCACACAGCCAGAACGGGACGGGACGGGACGAGTTTCGCCTGGTAGCGTGTCGCCCCGATGACGACGGCGCCGACACTCAAGCCGCTTCTCGTAGCCGCAAAAATCGTAAGCGTGCAGAATCGCGAAACAAGGATCGACAGCGCGCGGGTGTTGGCCCGGCTATGGGGGGCATGGTCTGGCTGGGCTGGGATGGGCTATACACGGGTACAGGTGAAGAAGTGCTGCCGCCTGTGAGACACCGGCGCCGCAACCTCCGCTGCCACAACCGCCGCCGCCGCCGCCACCGCCACCGTCGCCGCCGCCGCCGACGTCGCACCCGGTTTAGCCGCGCTACCTATTAGCAGCCGCCGAACTCGACACTAGTTCCACGCTTCACCGCCACCGGCGGCATCACGTCTAGAAACTTGAGCTGCAGCATCTCATCCAGTGAGCTCGATCTCACCCACATTTACACTGTCTTCTTTTAAATCTTCAATATTGACAAATTGTGACTGCCAAATGGTCGATAGATAAACTATTGCCTGCAAAGTAGCTGTAAGACCAGCCTTCCGCCTGAGAATTTGCTGCTACAGTATCCCACTGATAGCATACGGTTTAAGGTTGCGTTCGTGAATGTGTATGTATTTTTTACTGAATTCCAATTCGGAAACTGGTTAAAAACTCGTTAACACCTTTTCACGCGTGATGATCTTTTTCCCATCAAAGCGTTTTTCCTGTATGACTGTTGGTATCGATTCGATGAAACCCCCTGTTTGAAACGTATTTGTCGATCGTGTTCCGGTTTTCTAGATATGATTGATCGTATAATAACAATACAACTTATTACTAGTACTGTATTCCAATTTCAGGTGTGCCAGTCCCCTAGTTAGAGCGTTTGTTTCTGTGTGTTGTGTGCTGTGATTAGAACTTTAACGAAAGTAGAACGTACTTTAACCAACAATAGAGGAATATGGTAGGAAGTGAGGTGACAACTCGTCCAAGGCTTGAAGAGCAATGCCCCGTGTGCGGTGATCGTGTATCTGGTTATCACTACGGGCTGTTAACTTGCGAAAGTTGTAAGGTAAAGTATACGAGTTCTTCGGCCCTCTCCTCATCTACCTTTAAAGCTAAAAATATTTTTTTCCAGGGCTTCTTCAAGCGCACGGTACAGAACAAGAAGGTTCGTTCTAAGCATTTTTGAAGCTACAAAATTCAATTTTTATGCAGTAACACGTAATTGTAAGTGAATCTGTTCCAGAGTTATCAATGCGCAGCGTCTTCGAATTGCCCAGTAGACAAAGCCGGTCGTAAACGTTGCCCACGATGCCGTTTCGCAAAATGTCTACAGCAGGGCATGAAAATCGAAGGTAATCGATGGCATTTAATCGATAGAATTCGAGTTTTCTTCGGCACGGCGCTTTTTTTTCCTCGGAAGACCTTGATCTCTGCTCAGATGGTTTTCATGAAGTATTTTTATCATTCAATTGCTATTTTTTTGAAAATATTTTGCTTACTACCTCTACAAGAACCTTACCTGTTTCTTTTTCTTAAGAGAAGATTTTTCTTGTTTTTCTTTGATCTACCGCTGTTACCAGGACGCCTTTATTCCGTCTATAATTTTATGGCTATGTTGTGACAAAGACTCTCACAGCGGCTTAATCCACCGCGACTTACCCCTTTGTCCTGGTGCTCAGCCGGCACCTGATCTTCGTCAGCCTCTTACCGTACCCTCCGTCATCCTCTTGGCGCGGTCTGTGGCGCACTTCTTCGTATCTGTTTTTGGGTGCGCTGCTGCAAGCATGCACGAAAAAAATCCGGTTTCACACGTTGTCTCGTGTCTCCACCAACGCACCTGTGCCTTCGATGTAGATGGGGCGGAAATTTTCCGAGAAATTCAATTGCGTCCACGCCCACATGCATCGCGCACATCCAGAATTCACGTAATTTCGCCCTGTACGTTTTTCATTGGAAGCGTCGCAGGAGCTTTTGAAAGAAAAACCGGTTGTTCGTCGGGGGGGGGGGGAGGTGTGGGGACATCGATTGATGTACCGATAGGAGTTGATGTGGGTGTGGTGGTATACGTGCAAGAAGGTTGAGGCTGACTGACGGGCTGTGGTCCATGCTATCGATGGCGGAGCCACGTGTGGGTGTGGGTGCGAGCGCGGATGAGATAGATGGCATGATCGTTCATTCACGTCAACGGGCCGTCCACAGGGTTGTGCCGAGCGTTGAGGGGATGACTGAAACAATTCCGACGACCACCGGAACTCGTTTACGGTTCTTCAGCGTACATCGAACGTCGATGAACGACACAACGAACGAACGACGACGACGACGGCGACGACGACGACGACGATGAAGTCGTGCCAGTATTACACAAAGTGATTAAGTGTTTGTCATGTACTCTTTACGTAATTATCGTCAGAACGCCTTCTCGCACATGCCACGAAAACTTCCTGGCACATCAGGAAGGTTCAAGAGGATCCCGACAGTTCACAGTTCAAGACATCTTAGCCCTACCGTACACCTGATGGAGAAGAAGGAGTTCTAAGTGCACCTCATCAGAACTTCTCTTACCTAAAACTCATATGAAACATGGAAAGGTTGCTGAGGCTGCCTAACCAGCTGAAATATCCTGCCCGCTTCAGAGTCAGTGGAAAACCCGGTTTGTCGGTAATTATAACGTAACATCTGGTTGCAGCAATTTGTCTGGTTCCTTTGCACCACCTCTTCAGCCTTAAGAGTCATGATCTGGAAAAGAACTTTGAGCAGCAGCAGCAGTGGCAGCAGCTTGCCTTAATGATTACCAGTAATTGGCAGTAGTAATGCCATGTCCAAGATTCGTCTTCACTTGAGAATGTGATTCATTTCTCTCGACGATGTGAATGGGGCAACCTTTTTATGGCAAAGTCGCAGTAATCGGGCGTAAATTGGTCAGAGATCGGGCCGCTCTTGCGCAATCTTTCTACCGATATGACGCTTGCTCGATCAAACGATTGGGGGGAACGGGTTGATGGGAAGATTTCGATCGCGCCCTCTCAACTACCCCATTTATGGCATAGATCCCAGAAGGGAAAGTTCAAAAGGACATCCGAGGCGTTGTCGCGGCATCGCCTTCCGGAATCGAGAAACAGACTCGCCCGTCCCTTGCTTGACTCTAGAAGCGTTCTGGAATTTTTAATCAGCTTTTCGAAATTCAGCTGTGAAACGATTCACGACAGATATCAGGCTTAGTGGCAGGTTTGCTTTTGATTTGCTTAAAGCTAGGCGATCTTCCGCTACCAGTCCCGATCTCACTCAAATGCAATGACATGCTTACTTGCGCCCACCTTTCTTCAGATTTTTTCGGCTAAATTTTTTAATAACCAATTTTGGCGCTATCGCAAGATGCGGTGACATAGGAGCAGCAATGTATTTTCCCACAACATCAAGTTCTTGCTGAAAACGAAACTTACCCTAAGGGGGAGGGAGGAAAGAAAGAGAAAGAGAAACTCCAAAATGCGTGAGCATGTTCCATCCTCCTTCAAGTTCTTGAACCCCTCAGTCCAAAAAGATGCTCCCGTAATAGCTCCCGAATTTTTTTAAGAGCTCCTCTTGAAAAATAATTATTTTTGTTATTTTGAAATCATGGCTGCATACTGATCTTACCATAGAAGGAAATGGAAAAAAGATTTGAGACTGCGCATGTCAATGGCATCACACCTTGAAGGGTCCCGAGTAGGGGATGTGATTGCTGCCTGAATGCCCTTTTTCAACTAGCCCAAACCCAAGCTGTGAGAGCGCGTATTGCACCCTGGTTTCATACACTCGATAACTATATGTGATCGCAAAATTGATTACGAAGCAATATTTTTTGAATTTTTTCTAGCTGCTTCATGATGCTGGATTGACATTACTACTACGGCCTGAAGATTTCATAAGACGTCGGAGTTTTGTCCAAAATCTTTATAGCAGTAAATATAAAAATAATACAATGTTGAATCTATCAACAGGGCATTGGAAGGGCCGAATTATTTCCAAGTGCCAAAGGAGTGGCGCTGGAGCAGCGGCAGTGTGCGCGCCGACTGCAATTACCGTAGTTGACGCGGAGTTGTTTGCATTGTGCTGGCGCGCTCGGCGAGCCAATGAGCGCTGAGTCAGCTGTGCCCGGCTACCGTACCATGTAAAGCTTTCACTATTTGCAGCTGTTCGAGAGGATCGTATGCGAGGCGGAAGAAACAAGTTTGGTTCCTACTATAAACGTGATCGAGCACAACGTATGCAACGTAGCTCATTAAAGGACAGTACCGTAACCGATCTGGCCGGAATGGAACAGACCGTAACCAGCAGGTACATATCGATTTGTGCACGATTTTCAGGGCATTCGAACTTTGCTGGCTTTGAGTATAGCCGCTCGTGACTGAGTACTTAGTAACCCTCAGAATCGTACATTTTTACCTATGTCTATTTTTGTTGGGAATTAACTTTATCTTATGATCCTCATGGCATTTTCATCCATGAACAAATTATTTACATATATAAGGAGAGGGAGGGGGAACAGCCGGCATCCTTCCGTTCAGCCGGCGTGAGCGCGGGTAATTACCCTTTAATGAACCCGAAGCCTGTTTGATAGCATGCAGTGAAACGCCGAAAAACGGCCAGTGGGATGGTTTTCTGAATACATTAATAGTTTTTTTTGCATTAACCAACCTAAATAAAAAAGTACGGCTGTGTTAGTGGACCCGGAACTTGGACTACGAGATTGAATTTGAATTTTTTGTAGATTTTTTCTATACATGTCTTTTTGGCCATCTACGTCCATCTTTGAAGCTTCCCAATTACTTCCGCTTTTCAAAGTTTTTTTTTTCAAAATCGATAGAATCGATTAGTTCTAAAAATGGGCAAAACAATGAAGTGCGGTTTAGTGAATCGACAAAAAAGGCTTTGGCGTGGAAAGTGCACGTGCGATTTTTTTCGTGCGATTCGTGAAATTAATCCTTTCACATGTTCATTACTGATCAGACGAGTGCTTTACTCAAGTTAGCTTGGAAAAAAATATGTAAATAATTTATTGAGTTTTCGCTTCAGTACTGAGCCGATTGTGATGCCGTATCCGGATGATAAAGTGAAGTCCGAATACGATACCGTATTGCAATGTCTGACACTATCCAGCAGCACACCAGTACATCACGGTAATTCTATGGAAATTCTTATTTCTCACTTACATTATTTATTAACTGATAATTTATTAAAAATCTTTTTTTATCATTAAAATTTCTGGGCGATGTTATTAGCCAAATATTCTGGTTTTGAAGTTTTTTCTTATATTCTCGAGGGGCTTAAATATTAAGGTTATGAATTTCACCAGAATTTTCTGGAAAATTTCAGTTTTCTCTGGAGGGAAAATGTGTAAAATTGAAAAATAGGGTAAATCTGTAGGTGCTACACTTCAGTTGAACAAATATTTTCATAGATGTAAGTCTTAATCTAATCTGAATTGAGAAATCGATCGGTCCGGTGTTCTGTAAGAGTTTTCAAGAGCTGGGCTCTGTCAAGTTTTTTTTGAAGCTAATGTTTCCAGAAGTAGTGCGTTACTTTTAATTTTTAGGGAGGTTGTCGAAATTGATATCTAGTAAAATTTAGCAGTAGACTTGGAAATATTGAAAAATGCCTCTGGGTCTCTCACATATTGGTGTGGTGGATCTACGGCGCGCGCGGTCGCGAGCGCGGTTAGCTACTGGACGTCATAAAACCTGAAAATGAATAATTGTTATTCAACTTATTCTGTATTATGTTCTTTCACATTTTTTCCGCCTAGTAGATCCTTTATAAATTTTTTTACCCTTCCTTTCTATGAAGAAGCTTCACATAATTTTTTTAGTGCTTATAAAATTTAATATTATCATCTCTAGATGTTTTTGCTCGCAACTTTGCATTGATTTATTATTTCGCATAATTGTTGGAAAGTACGCGTGTCAATTGTTCATTATGTGGTCAACACTGAATGGCAACTATTGGCAACGCGCCGCGTAGGCTCGCTTCTGTTTCAAATATGTAGGACTTGCCAATTAGAGGTGCCTAGGAACCTCTACTTATGTTCTATGGTAAATCTAATAAACTGCTGAAGAAGGCTGGGATCTCTGCTAAGAAGAAAATCGCCGCGCGTAGAGTTGCAAAATCGCATGGTGCCTTCATGGCCTACATTATTGCTATCTTTATCAAAATTCGGTGCGAGGCCCAGATCTTCTCCCGACTGGCCCAAAACACGTGGTGATGGTTCTTGGTTTAGCCGGAACTCTGGGATATAGCACAATGCGATCTGCCGGGTCTTTCGAGTGCGCAGAGGTACTTAAGGCTAATTTTTCATATTTGAGGAGACAGGGCTTCAATGGTTTTTTTCCTTATAACGATATCTGCTTCTTTGTTACTTATTACATTACTATTCTTATTATTATTGATTTTACTATTAGTTTTCTTACCATTGCTGGCTTTCAGTAACTTCCGCATGTTCACTTGGAGGATTTCTTATGCTCTCAGTAACAATTTTCAGTGCCGACACCAACAGCACGACCTACAGCCACACATGAAAACGAGGGTCTGGCCGGTCTACTCGGATGTTCGATCGATTTCCCAAATTACCGTATCAAACCCGAACCATATGAACCGACAACGAACGACTTTCACCAACGCCCACCGTATCATGGTCATCCAATTGACGACGGTAAGAAAATGCAAATTGTAGATTGCTTCTCCAGAAAAACTCGTCCTTTTGTTGAGTATTGCGGACTGAATTCTGCAATTACACATCACGCCAGAATTTTACTAAGGGCAGAATTGTCTTCGGAATTCCTTGATTAATCGACTTTTCCCATAAGTTTTCAGAATTTGCCCCTTCCAAATAGCCCAGTTCCTGCTTGATCTGTTATGTGCTCAACTTCCTGTATGTGATATTGTAATCCCTTATGAATACATTCTGATAGATTGTGACAGACGGGCAACGTTGTGACAAGTTCCAATCGGGCACCCCTTCCTCTACAGGACCCCCTCCATAATGCCCTATGTGTCGACGGGTCGGACCTTCTACTACATGACTTATTACATCTCTTCCCACAAAAATCCATCAAAATTTCGTCAAGCAAAGGGGCAGAGCAGGGG